ACGGCTTTAACACCATTTTACCTTGTCTTATGTACGAGAGACTCAAATATAGACTTTATTGTTCATATTTACCGTTTATTCACCTGTAAAGGAACTTTTGCATTTTTAATTAAGTCCAAATGGTCTCTGTTTTGAATCTGCCTTACCATGTCCTCAGTGTTTTTTTTTTTTTTTTTTTAGGGAATAATGCCCAATCCAGAACAATGACAAACCGCATCGACTTGGCGCCTTATCTGCCCGATCTCCCACTATTTCTCCCCAGTCAAGATTTGGTTCCATCTGTCTGCTGCACTTTTCATTTCCTCTTCTCCTCCCGTCCACCTCCCTTTCTTCAGTAGCAGCTCGTAAAAAAATGTTGCAATCGCATGCCAGCCAAAGTTTAATTAAATCTTTTAATTCATTTTTTTTAGTCTGATGAGTATGCCAGATCATAACATTAACTGATTTTCTTTAATTTTCTGTGCTCAGACGGTACAGCTGGTAAGCTTTAAAATGAGATATATTGTCATTATTTACACCTTTTCCAACACTATAACCTTTTTTTTTTTTTTTTTTTTGCTGCATTGCTTACAGTTGCTTTAAGGTGCTACTATTGTTGAAAGGTCAGGATTTCATCTTGAGTTTTTAGAAGAGGTATTTCCATCTCATTTACTCTCAGTCTCTTAAAGACAAGAAGTCTGCAGCTGGTTAAAATTGAAATATTGAGGGTAGTTATGTTTCTGACTTTTGTTTTTGATTTGTGTCTAATATCTAAGTTACTCTCAACATTTAAATTACAGTTGCTCATGTGGTTGATGTCCATTGACTACAATGACCAAACTGTAGTCAATGATCCACATTGACTACACTTGGATACAAATTGGATACATTTGGCATTGTATCCAAATGGTTGGATACATTACCTCTTAAATAATGCATCCAACCATTTGAAATAAATTAAATAAAATCATCGGAGCCAAAAAACCAAACCTGAAGTATGTAAATAGCCTACATGGTAATGTATGATGACTGTAAAAAGAGAAACTATCATAGATGAAAAACATTACTTTATAAATATGATGTGGAGATTACAAAAAAAAACTTAATATCCCTCCTTAGTTTTATAAGTGCACATACAATGAGCTATGACAGTCATAAGCTGAAAATAGTCCATTTTACATAACACTGCCCCTTTAAAAGTCTCTTTATTGGTGAAACCGATGCTGTAGTTACTTAGTATCGAATCCAGACCACATGTTTACAGCATCACCCACCACTACCTTTGGGCCTACATGCAAATCGCTAAATTTGCAAATCGCTAAAGAACTAACACTGCGCATGGCCCTGAACACACCGTCTCCACAGTGAAACACAGTGGTGGCAGCAACATGCTGATGGATGGAGGTTCATACAAGACAATCCCAGAGGACGACATGTTAGACTCAGCAAAGGACTTGAGGTTAGAATGGTCCAGTCAAAGGGAGCAAAGATTGAGCTTCATGTGAATTCAAATGGCATCTCAAGACTTCAGTCTGATTCGCAGGTTCAACCAGACAGGAGGATGTAATCTGATACAACACCTCATCGTGACGCCTCTAAGCCCGGAAAGTCTTAACGACTGCTACTCCACTCTGCTCAGAAACTTCCCAGAGCTGTTTGTGATAATTATGTTGCTGTTCTTGCCATTCAGGCAGCATTCCCTCATTGTTTCCACTTCAACCCACCAGACAAGACATTTCACAGCTAATGGCTGCCGTGCCTCTTCGTGGTCGGACCGCGGTCTCGATCAGCGCTGATCAAAACTCGCATGTTTTGTGCTGTTCTGTTCCGTAATAACACGCCATTTGCATATCTGTGACAGAAATGTATTAAAGTCTTTATGCCTTATTGTTTATAAGAATGTGTGAGGTGATGGGAAGTAAGACTGCCTGGCATCGACTTAATTGGATTTCTTATCTCAGCATTGTGTGCTTGATGAAAGAGACTATGGGTGCGAGCACAGAAGTCACGAGTCAAGCGGGGTTTAACTTTTCAAAACTGTTTTCTTCATACTTGTGGTCAACGGTCGTTCAGTCAGGTTGATGTAATTTATCTGCTGATTAGGGAACAGGCACAGGCCTGCTATACGGGTCAGTTTTAACTTTAAAATGTTTCTACAAGCTATCTGATGAGATGCTAAGTCAAGCTACTAATTGAGTCGACTTTCAAAATCTGTGTTTGCAACATTTGTTCTGCGGTATAGTAGTGTGAAAAAATAATTTTCCCTCTTTGGGATTTCCTCATTTTTTGTGCAATTGTCCTACTTCCGAGTTCGGCACATCGAACCAATTTAAATATTAGTGAAAGACAACACATGTAAACAAAAAGTGTAGTTTCTAAATGAAGGTGCTTGTTATTGAGGGAGAAAATCCAGCAAAGAACAATGAAAAGCGATTAGCTTAAACCGTGAGGCAGCGGTGGAAAACGACTGAACAACAGATGGGCTGATCAGAGGAGATGTGGAACAGCTGTGACTGGGAGAAAACTAATTAACACAAAGGAAGCTGAAGAGCTACAAACCTAAAAGGAAGAGAGAGGCCTGGCAAAAATATAAGAAAAATGAAATGTATAAGAAACAGAAAAGACTAAAATGTCTAACAATAAGGAAAAAGAAGCTGTGCTTCCATTGTAAATGTTCTCAAAAGTTTGTCAAAAAAGTGTTGAAATTGTGTCCGAAAAACACAATTTTGCAGCTTCCATTCAATAAGAAGTGAAATAAAAATCACACATGAATAACTTCACACAATAAATTATTAAAAAAAAAAATGTGCCATTGTCCACTTCCTGTTGTCTTCATCTTTTTTGGCGGTGGTGACATTTGGTTTTTGATCACAACTTGTGTGATACACAAAGTGTTTTGCAAAATAAAAAAATTGGATATGGCCAAAAAAAAAAATCATTCTAGCATCAAAACATTTAATCAGAAAACAAGATTATTTTTGTTTTGAAATTGCTATGTTTCTAAATTCATATTTGATATATCAAATTATGCAATTATACAGTCAATGGAAGCTCAGCTACAGAAAAATGAGCAGAATGTGGTAAAATTTGTAAAACAAAATTAACAAGGCTATGATGAAAACACAAACAGAATTTCTTCATCAGCCTGGAAATTCTAAATGCCAGTTTATCTCAGCATTGTGTGCTTGATGAAAGAGACTATGGGTGCGAGCACAGAGCTTAAAAAGTTAACTAGAGTGCTTATTCCTCTTTACATGAAATACGTCGCATAATAAAGTCCTCTGGTAATCGGAAAGTTGTGAGTTTGATACCAGCTTCCTTTCGGTGCATGATGTTTGTGGATGCCACAGGTTAAACGTAGCTCCGGCGTTCGGCGCCGAGGAACCAGAAAAACTGTGTAAATTCAGTTCATTTACCATTTATGATGTTTGGTTTAATGGCTCATTTCACGGAGGCACACTGTGATAAATACCCATTTACTTTCACTCTGCTGTTCATTCAAAATTGAGGCATCCTGTTGTCAGGAAAAGTGAAGCACTGTGAATGATCAGCTCGAGGTGATGGCGGTTTTCGTCCGTGGCTTCACACATCTTGAAACACTCTGTCTCCACCTGAGCCGGGTTCGGCCTCGGAAGAAGGCGTTACGTCTTTATTTCTGACATGTAAGTGTAATTCGGAAAAATCGACCTTTAGATACAATAAACGGTTGGGTTAAGTCCTGGATGTTTTGTGTGGCTGCAAAACACAAAGCTGGGACTCGTGTTTTGACCTGCGGGAAAACAGTAAGAAAAAAACAATTTGTTGATTTATTTATAGGTGTTTTCCCAGGGACAGCCAATCATGTCGCTGCTCTGTACTTCTGGATTGAAAAGCCTTATTGGATTTCAGACACGGGGAATTAAATTTAAAGGCAGACGTGGCGACACTTTGTTTCAATTTAAGACAAAAAAAACCCCCAACAACCTTTAATAAATGTTTTTCTTTCACTGTTATGATTGTTTTTGCTGAGAAGCAGCGATAGAAGATGACAGTCACTGCATTATTTTTTGACACATGTTGTAAATACTGAGTCACGAAGGGGATAGTTAACTTTTAAATCTGTTTTATGAATTGATTGTCAGCGCAAAGGGAAAGAAATTCTCAGAAAAGTGGAAGGCAGATGGCCAACAGCAGCCTCCTGTTTTGGCTGATCTGAGCAAGTAAATGAGAAAAAGTCCTGAGATAAAGAAGCCAACGTTTCCTCCTCATCTCAGGTTTTCAGGAAACTATGTAAATGATGCAAATTTGCTTTGAATAATTGCTTTAATTGTAAACAAAAATTGATTACACTCCTTTATGTTTCTAAAAAAAACTTTTAATTCATTTTTTTTATCATTATCGCACAATCCAGATATAAAAAGTGACAGTAGTATGGGGGGGGGGAAAAGCAGGAACATTGGGAATGAATCAGAAAAGCTTAAGCCAAAAGAACGACATGTAAAAAAAGCACACACACTCACAGGACACTCTTACACTTGTACTCCACCGTACCACTGGATATGACACATATACTGTACTGCATGTTACACTGATGTCACAGGTCTGAGCAGATTGAAGCAGATTAAGCGAAGTATCAGCTGTATAAGAAGAGAAAACGTGTAGACAAAAGAAATACAGAAGTTGAAAACCTTTCAGAAGTCTTGGAGTACTTTAGCACAAAGATTGTTCATCGATACACGAATGGCTAGGGTTAGGGCTAACCCTAACACCTTCAGAGTATCAGACATTGATATTTGTTACGCTGTAAGTTTGGCAGCTAAAGAACGACATACAGAAGACAAGGTTCCGGTATGGCAGAGTAAACTGAACAGAAGAGTCTTTGGCTTATTTATTCCGACAATACTCACCGAAAGCGGAGCAGTGTTTGCACTTAGTTTGTTAAACGTCAGTCAACAAAAAAACCCAAAACAGAAATGCTCTAATATGCCAAATATTGTGTCTGCTTAAGGGCCAAAACAAGGCGAATCACTAAACACGCAATATTAGTTTTAAAGATGTTGACACGGAACATCGGCGACAGAGGGATGAGTTTACCGCCTCATCGCCAGCTCGGCGTCATGGACGCCCCGGATCTGCATAAGTCGTGGTTATCCTCAACGCAGATGACGCGGCGCCCTGGGCCGGTATTCTGACTATCTGTTTCCAGGCTCAGCCTTGGAGTGACAAACAAGAGCTGGGACCTGATCCCAGTCTGAATCCCTCTCTTTGCTTCCCCAATGTTTGGGAGAGTAATACTGCATTGTGTGCTGTCTGGTTGAGGGACACGATGGGAAAACGATCAAGAAAAACAATCAGAAAACAAATGCTGGTCATGGAGAAGCGGCGACTGCCAGAGGAAAATTATTTTTGCCAGTTTGACCAACACAACTTTGTCAAAAAATGTCACATTTCACATTAAAAGGTAATGGAGTTTACTTGCAAAAGACATAGACTACAAAAGAATCATTGTTTTAGCATTCTGCGCTTATTGGTGCAAGTACAGGTCTGCTGGAGAGACTTTGAGAACAAGAGATTTAATCTGTCGCACACTAATAAAACATTTGTTCCTCATTATAAGTTAAATAATCGGACAATTGAGATGGTACTTTGCATCAATATTAAATGATTAACTGAAAACGAACTATCTAGTTGATATGTTGCTTCTCAGGCAGTTTTGTCTTATTTCAAGACAAAACTGAAATGTTTGTACATTTCAGGTGTACAAACATGGTCTCACTGGAAACAAGACAAAAATACTCAGTAAGGTTTCGTGTTTTTGCAGTCATATCTTATAATAGTATCATGTTACAGGAGCCAATATGTCTGACTTCATTGCAAGGCCCCCCATCTCAAGTAGCTGCCAGCATCCTCTTTATTTCATACTTAGTTTATCAGTATATGTGAAAAAAAGAAAAAGGAAAATAAATTTCTTTTTTCTTTTCTCTGCCTCTGATTCATCCATTGAAAATGCCTCAATAGTCTCTGAATCACCAAACTGTATTCCTCATGACAGAGGGCATTTACTCTCACGTCTCCAAGTACCTTCTGAAGTAAACCACAGTGCCTCAGCACAGAACACATTTATAGAGAAAACTAGGCTGATGCCTGTAGGAATTTTCTGACATGATAGTTCTTAGGGTTAATAATCAAATGTATTAGTAATTGGGAAGCATTATTCATGATAATAAAGCGTCTTTGCAGCATGGTCCTCTCCTGTTGTGTTTACTGATGCATCTAAATTGTGTGGTAAATGTTTCTAAATGTGAAGTAATTGAGATGTGGAGCTATCACATCTGTGTTGGTCCTGTTTTGTATAGTGCATATAGACTGGGAGGAAAGGTGTTGGACTTACTTTAACTGCGTCTAAACAGATTATCGGGTTTTTTTATGTCCACATTTGGTGACCAACTGACCTTCAGGGACTTAAAGTGTAACGCTAAATGAGTAGCTTTACGTTGAAAAATGTTTGTAGGTTGTATACATCAGAAAGTTACTTGGGCTACTGGTAAACGAAGCCACTCAAGTGCATCTTTGTCGGCACAGACAAAACGCGTGCATAAATTAAGTAACTGCTGAGTTATTGCGGAATGTATCGATAAAACCTGTTCACAAACTGTTAAAATATCAACAAATTCTTACAATTAAATATTATTGAACATCTTTTCAGTCCTTCTAGGATTTTGTGATTTTTTTTGCAATAAAAATCAATAATCAATTTTGATTTTTTTTTTTTTTTTTTTTTTTAGCAAAGTCTATAAAAAACACCCATTTAAGTTTTCACTCAAAAAAGAGGGGGGATTTTTT